GGATTACAGGGGCAGGACACACAAACGAAGGGATTGGAGGGGCAGGACATACAAATGAAGGGGGAAGTCTACCACATGCTTAAATGATTTTATGTTTTATAATCTTCTATATGTATATGCACAAAGAGATTGCAAAGTTTCATGGCGATGAAGACTCATAAAGAAAACCTCACTCTCAGTTGGGGTAGGCAGAAACTAAAATGAATCTGCTTTAAATGTTTACAAAAAAAAGTTCAGACCAGGAAAGTCAACCTACACACAATTTAACAGCAGTTAACAGCTAATGGGTGATAGATAGTCAAAAATATTGCCCTTGTGGAAAATGTCGAGCAACTATAAATAAATAAATAAGCGAAACAGCAGATCAGAGTCCACCTACCAAATAGAAGTAAAAAAAATAGCAGAAAAGAGACAAGACCAAATCTCTGGTGCTTAAAGAAAGACAACAAGGAACCAAAAAAAATTGAGGAAATTAAGAGGTGATGACAAAAATATATTTTTTAGCTATCCAGTATACTGTTGCATTTAGTGGATCTAAAGTGTAGTGTTTTACAAATTTGACTAACAAGCCAAAAACCTCCTGTTGGATCTCAGAAGGATCCCATAGGATTTATGTCAGAACAGGAATCTAGTGGAAGAAATCAGACAAATAAACGTTACCTACCTGCTGTTGGACCCTCATGAATAATACTTGATTTATGGTTGTGATATTGTAATTTTTTGTGTTGATATTTGACTTTCAAACTACATAAATGTGCTTCTGTAGAGTACTCCAAAAACCCAGCAGTGTGTAGGTCAAGTGTTGCGTTTAGTGGGAGTGGGATAACTGTGAAAAAACAGAAAATTGAAAAAAAAAAATACAGCAGACTGCAGTAGACTCGTTTCATTGTTTTTAACCCTTGTTGTCACTTCAGCTCTTTGTATGTTATGAATTTTTTCTTCTCCCTGGCTGATGTGGACCGACAACAACAAAAGCCCACAGTTGTACAAGATCCTTATGGTCTGCCATTCACTGCCAGAGGATTTTTCTTTGTGTGTGTGTGTGTGTGTGTGTCTTTGAAGACTATGTAATAGTGTTATCCTTTCTTCTTTCTTTGTAATTATTTGCCAAATCATTATATAAACTGTAGATTCATACTTGCTTACGAAATAAATCTAAAGATTCATGTAAATTCGTTACTCTTGTCTTATTGTTTAAACTCTCTAGGTGCATTTCAGACTATGAACAAATACATTTTCTTTTAATGTAAACTTTTGCTTTTATTAGATAGTCATGGTCCAATCAAATTACCATTTAAGCTAGAAGGCTTCTGAACTCTGCTGTCAAACAGCTAACAGATCATCTGCAGAGGAATGGTTTATTTGAAGAGTTTCATTCAGGTTTCAGAGCTCATCACAGCACAGAAACAGCTTTAGTGAAAGTCACAAATGATCTTCTTATGGCCTCTGACAGTGGACTCATCTCTGTGCTAATTCTGCTAGACCTCAGTGCAACGCTCAATACTGTAGACCATAATACTCTATTAGATCAATTAGTACATTGCTGTATTGATTGCTGGGCTTTTGTTTATTACTTTTGTTGCTTTTCTTATTTGAAAATGGAGAAAAACAACATGGGTCAGACTTTTTAAATCTGTTTTAAGACCCCTTGACTGATGCTGTTGTTTTCTTTGAATTTCACCATGTTATATCATTAATTTAAGTTTAAGTGACTCTAAAAATCACATGATTGATGGCTCTGGCAATGTTTTGTACACCATGGCTAGTCAGCATTTCAACAGCACCGATTACACATGGAATATAATTGTTACAATGCGTTGTGTGTATGTTTGTACTATATATACATCTGATTTATGGCTATAGAGGCTTTTTGTATTCACTGTTTTAAAATTAACATTTCAAATATTTTTCTTACTTTCTTTGATGTTGTTAGTCTTAGAAGCTGTTATTGAGTTTGCTTCAGCTGGGCCAGAAACGTATTATTATTATTATTATTATTATTATTATTATTATTCACTTAATCTGAAAAAATTCTTGACACTCAATCTTCACCTGGATACCTTTGGTGTAGCAAAATAATTTATAATTGCAACTACTACCATCTGTTTCTACGCACAGAGATTGAAAAGTTCCCTAGTGATGAAGAATCACAGAATAAAAGCCTGGATAAAATATTCTCTTTTGCTGAAGAGCCAGAAAATGAAGCTCTGACAAAGCAAGAAAATGTACAGGGTGGGCCATTTATATGGATACACCGCAATAAAATGGAATGGTTGTTTGTGGCACATTAGTATATGGCTGTATCCCAATTCAGGGTCTGCAGCCTTAAAGTACGCGGCCCTTGAGGATCGTTGAGGCTGCTAAGGCCGGAAGTGCGAGGCTTGTGAAATGGGACGGTCTAGCCTCCCCAGGTTGCCTAGCAACCATGATACTAACAACTGGAAACGTGTCATACAGCTTTGTTTGACAAAAATGAAGGAGAAAATCTTTTGTTCATTTGTTTGTTTGTTTCTACATGAGCTTTGATCATTCTCTGATTAAGCTCAGCTATTTAAAGTAAAGGCTTTAAAACCAAGTTAGTACAAACGTCACTAATGTAATGTTTTAATGTTCTTCGTTATTAAACATTTGCACGTAAATAAGTGACATTATATTCAGTACTTACTTAAAGTTTGCTCTTCGGGCGCCCCTCATCCGCCGTTTTTTTTCGGCAAAATTATTCACACCCACTGCCGCGCTATGCATTCTGGGATATGTTGGGCCACGCAGTCCACACTGCCACAGCCTTAAAATTCAGGGGAATTAAGGACGCATGATAGGTTTGTAGCTTGTACCTATCCGCTGGAACGTTGAAGACAATATAATTACACCGCAAAGCAAGACACGAAGTAGGCAAAGTTCTTCATGTTACTCGTGCACGGGAGAGAACCGAACAGACGCCGTTCTCTCGTCTGACCCCAGTTGCTCTCGTCCGTTCTCCCGTACCACTGTTCTTTTATTGAGGTTACATGAATATGCATAAGTTCATTAACATATGACGTCTACATTCACACAAAGAGT